AAACTGTCAATGCCAATAGGACCGATTGGTCGAAGAAACTAGATGATGCTCTTTGGGCCTATCTTACAGCTTACAAGACCCCGGTTGGTATGTCTCCATACCGGTTGGTGTTTGGGAAAGCTTGTCATCTTCCGGTGGAATTGGAGCATAAGTCTATGTGGGCCTTGAGAAAATTGAACTTAGAATGGGATGTCACTGCGAATCTCCAGGTTGAGCAACTTAATGAGCTAGACGAGTTTATATTTCATGCCTACTCCAGCGCGTCCTTGTACAAGGACAAGATGAAGTACCTTCACGATAAGTATGCTCGAGGGAAGGAATTCAAAGTTGGTGACATGATTCTTCTTTTCAACTCCCGGTTGAGGTTATTCCCGGGAAAGCTTAAGTCTAAGTGGAGTGGTCCATTTGAAGTTGTTGGTGTAACCCCATTTGGAGCTATTGATCTCAAAAACAAAAATGGTGAAGTTTTCCGGGTCAATGGACATCGTGTTAAGCATTACTTGGGAAAGTTTGATGACACCCCATGTGGTGGCACTCATTCATTTGAAGTGACTTTGATGGTAACATGCGTCGTGCCGCAACGTTAAATCAGGCGCTTCTTGGGAGCCAACCCATGTCTTTTTCTTTCTTTTTTGATTTCTGTTGTAGATTAGGATTTTTGAGCTAATGGTTTGTGAGATGTTGCAGGAATTGTGATTGAACCAGTGCAAAACAACTGTGCAAAAAGTGCACAGTCTCTGAACAGTGACCGTGCGGCCGCAATCACACTTTGTGCGGTCCGCACTGACCAAAGAAAATATTGCCAAGTTTCTGAAGATGGCTAGTGCGGCCGCGTCCTTGCTTGTGCGGTCCGCACCGGTGAAGGCCAAGAATGATCAGTCTCTGAACTGCGTTCATGCAGCCGCATCCCACTTTGAGCGGCCCGCGTGGTTCTCAGGCGGCTGCAACCCGTCTTATGCGGTCCGCATGCCTTCGTTTCAGCACTAGGTAAATGGTAAAGTCCCAGTGCTGCCCGCAGTCGTGTTCACGCAGCCGCACTAGACGGTAAGTGATGGGCCCCACTGAGTTTCCTATAAATAGACCATTAGGATCTTCATTAGAACTTTTCGCCAAAATTAACCCCTGAGCCCTAAAAGTTACTGTTCACATTCAGAGACCCCTTTTAGTGTTAATATCAAGAGCATTTCTTCGCTTTCCTAGTAACATATCTCTCACATTAGTCTTTACTTAGTATTAATTTAAACTTTATACATGTTTCCCTAGTCATAACTTCTTCGTTTTTCTTTTTTGTTCTTCGTCGTTTCATGATTAGGATAGTTTTATATTGTTCTTGTTGTTCTTTGAAATGATGGGCATGTTATAAATGAGTAGGGACAAAGTAGGATGCTAAAACGTAAAAGACTTGAGTTTTTTGTAAAACCCTAATTGCCCCTGTAATGAAAGCCCAGCGCAGTCGCACTCCCTGATTATGCGGTCCGGTCCGCATGCCTTTTACGCGGCCGCATCATTTTGTTACGCGGTCTGCGTAAGCCTTGAGCCTCAAGGTTGATACTTCCCAGCGCGGCTGCACGCCTTGTTTGTGCGGTTTGCTCCCTGCCCCAGGCGGCCGCATCCCATATTTGCGTGGTCCGCGTGGGTGAGGTTCATAGGGCACCAATTTTTAATAGTATGGCCAATGCGGCCGCATGACCAGTTTGTGCGGACCGCGTTGGCCCCCACGCGGCCGCACCCCTTGTTCATGCGGTCTGCATGGTTCCTAATCAGAGAGGTGTTCATTTCCCAATTTGGTCAGTGCGGTCCGCATGCCTTGTTTGTGCGGTCCGCACTGCTATCACCTGTTCTCTGTTTGTGTTTCTGTTCTGTACTTAAACTCTGCAATTGCCTGAACTAACAATGTTAGAATTATTTGTGTGTAGGAAATGGTGAAACAATGAGGGCGTGGATCTAAACAACCCGGACGATGAGCTGACCCTTCCCGGGGAGGTAAAGTAAATTTGAAGAAACTCACTCCCCAACCAAAGCTAAAAACAAGAAAGCAGGTGATGAGTGATGAAGAGCAGCCGGGGAGTGAGTACCTCCCCTCCCAGGATGTTAAACTGATTCGGGGAAAGCCTTCGCTGGCCCAGCTAAAGCTTCAACTGTTATACAACTTGAGTCGTCTGAGGGCTTAGAAGTAGGCAGTGCCAAATACTCCACCTCCCCCACATCTTCAGAATCCAGGGAGGGTGCAGAAGATAAAAACAAAAGTGATGAGGAGGTCCCGGACAATGGGGTACTTAGAGTTGGGGATTGAAAGAACTAGAAACCCAATTGTATGGTAGGACAGATTTGTCAGCGAAGTGGCCTTTCATAAATTCCGAGAAGTGTGGCCCAAGAAGAAGGTGATTCCAGAAAGAAGAGTAGTCACCCGGGATTTATTACCCTACCTTCTCCGAGTCCATGAACAATTTCTTACTAGAGTGGGGTGAGATTTCTTTAAAGATGAGCTGGTCGATGCAAATGAACATATGGTGAAGGAATTATATAGCAATGTGGCCCACACAAAAGAAGGGTCAATTGCAACCAAAGTGCAAGATAAGAAGATAGTGTTCTCGGGAGAGGCATTGAACGAATATTTGGGTTTCAATGAGGAGGATGACTCTTTGTACAGAGAGACGTTAGCGTTGAAAGAGGAAGCTCGTCCTTGGGTGTCACAGTTCTTAGCTCAGCCGGGTACTGTTCCGGAGTGGATTCAGGTGGGGAAGAAAATACTGCGAAAGGACCTCAATTTTGAGGCGAGAGGATGGTTAACTTTTGTATGCAACAGGTTGGACCCTTCGTCCCATGACCAGACCATTCCAATTGCCCGAGCGGTTCTCATTGCATCCATCATGGCAGGTTTCCCCATCAATGTGGGGAATGTTATGTACAGTGTGATCATATCCATTGGAATTGATACAGAAACTACCCCTACCCAAACACCCTAACAATGTACTTTGAAGATGCAAAGGTGAAAAAATACCCCTTCGATGTTGGAGTCCGGCCGGTGTCCCTGTTCTCATGGTTTAATATTCAGGGGTCAGACAACCCGAAGGGGGATAAGAAGGGAAAAACATCCACCTCTGCCCCGACTGGCCAGTCTGAAGAGCCAGTTGCGGTAGAGGCCTCTATTGAGCCACCTACTCCTACTGCCACAACTGTTCCGGACATCTCATCCTCCTCTGCAGGTCCCAGTTCTTCAACTGGCCCAGTGGTTCCCACATCCAAATCCAACCCCCTCACGGCCCAACAGTTAGCAAAGACATTGGCCAGTTTGAACAACTGGATGTCAGTCTCGACATCCAAGTTGTCCACTTTGGCTACCACAGTTGCAGCCTAGTCTGTTCCAGCCACTGTTAAGATTCCTCAGTCTATTGAGGAGACATTGAAGACACTCCTGGCCAACCAGGAGAAGATTTTGGCTACTCAGGCTGCCTTGACAAAGGCAGTTGATGCACAGGGCAAAGCTCTAAAGGAGCTTCTCAGAGAACACAAGAAGATGAGAAAATCCCGGGCATCTAAGGAAGAGGTGAAAGAGCTCCGAGCTGAGGTTGATAAGCTAAAGGCAGACCAGCTGCCTTTAGACTTGTTCTTTGATGAGTCAGCACCTCTACCAGCAGTAGTTGTATCGGAGCCACAATAGGAGGAGGAGCCTAAGCACCCAAGGAAGAAGAGGAAGCTTCCTAGCACTGAGGGTATTATGATAGAGGTAGCACAGGTTCAGGAGGATACTTTCAGTACTCCACCAGATGTTCAGCCGGTCCATGACCCGGCCCCTGTCCCAGCAGCAGAGCAGCAGCAGGCCGGGAACCAGTCTGAGGTTCCCGCCAGTACAGAGGACCAGGGGACCACTGATCAGCCCATGACGACGGATCAGGCTTGAGGAGCCACTCTATATCCTTTCTCTGTTTATATGCTTATTTTGGTAGTTGGCATTGGGGACAATGCCAGCTTTTATTCGTGGGGGTGCGCCCTACTATTTTGTATTTTGATGGTTGATACATTTGAGATGACTGTACATATTTATTTGACTCTTAGCTTATGTTGCTAGTTGATAGTTGGCCTGTACATAACTTTTCATTCTAGTTACTTTTCTACTTTATGTACATATTCATTCCCCTCCATTGTATATTCTACTCCCCTATTGTACATATTCATTCGGTTTTTCTATTTTCGTTAAAAAAATTCGTTTTTAGTTTCATAGCAGGCTCGTAACCTTTTTGTTTTGTGTTGGCGTTTGCAATAAGCCCTTGGTTTTCTTAATTCCACGGTTCTTTCTAAGGGTAGAGTGTTGTGCGAATCGGGTGGCTCTTCCCAATGAGAGATAGCATGACAACCTTTTTAAGGGTTTGAGTCCGATTTTGATTTTTCTTTTTTTTTTATTTTCAAGTTTTGCAGTCAAAGGTACCTCAGGCAAAGCTTCACTTGGGCCTAACACATTTGCCTTTGATCCCATGGTCAAAGACATAAT